GTATTTAATTATGGGAAAGCACACTAGGGCTATCTGCTTAAGGGGAGGGATGCCTTCGTGGAGGACTTTCTAAGGGAACTGCCTCGCATACACGTTACACATGGGGAAATCCACGAAAACACCCATGCAGCCAGCCCGTTCGCGGGATTCGAACCTCGGACCGAACTACCAGTGTTCAGTGACTTTACCCCTCGGCCGCTGGTGAGCTCCATTTATAGAGAAACAACGCAAAATGACAAAACGAAAATAATACTTCTTCAGAAAAAAAAAAAAAAAAAAAAAAAAAAAAAAAAAAAAAAAAAAAAAAAAAAAAACATTATGCGTCAACCCAAATAACATGTCTTTTTCTTTGTGCTTAAATATAATTGCCTGTAAGCTTATGTAATAGTTGTTTCATGTAAAGCACATTTTCTCACAGTATGTAATAATTAAAAGTGAAAAACACTCCAAAATCTTAAGAAATAGGTACAACCCATTTCTTAAGATTTTGGAGTACAGTTTGCGTATTTCAATTATCCAATTTGTTTATTATGAGTGTAAAATAAACTCCTCCAAATACCTATTTATCAAGATGAATATATTTTCCTTTCTTCTTTGTATGAAGGCATAGATATAAAGTAAATATTTAGAAGTAAGTAAACAAACGTATTTCGAAACTGTTACAATAAGAATAGTAGAAATTCACTCCGGTCGTAAAAAACACACTCTACGAAAAAACATTGAATCTCATTGTCTAGACTAAACAATGGATCGCGTTTTGCCCACGTAAAAGAGAAAATTCGCATGAACTTTTGATTTTGACCTCTTTTAAATTCAAAGACATTTATTAAGCAAGCATCCTAACTATTCAAATGTATCCGAGAAATCTTTGAAATCTGAAGTTAGGAATTCATGTGCATATTACATTAATCTGCATAATATAGTTTTTAGGTTTAAAAAGTTAATTTAGAATTCATACTAAACTGAATTTACAGCATAACAGATTTAGAAAGTTTCTATATTTTTCTTTAATTATTTAAATCAAGATCTTAGTGATCCGTTTAATGTTATTTTTAATTTGTCTAGCCCGTTAAAATGGAAGTGGTTTAGCCTTCAAAATTCTTGACGTTCTTATTCGTCGAAACGTTTATTGATAATATTGTACACAATCAACTTCAGCTTGACTTTGTTTCAAGTATATTCTACACAAATCCCTGAATATCAACATGTACAGGTCTATTATTTAGAATTAACCAGTTATTTATAATTTCAGACTTTACTGTAACTTTTCCTTTTCCGTATCCTCACCAAAAATATAAATTAGTCGGAGTATTTAAGCTGATGTTTTTGGATTGTAAGACAGAGAGTATTTCTACTTCTCTAGGCCATGTTGCTAGGTTCTTCAGCTCCAATAAGATTGTAATTAATTGGCTTTGCATTATTGCTGCCGACATTTAATTGTTGAGCCCGCTAGAAGTTCTGAACCAAATTAGTTTTAAATTAAGTTGCGTAATTTTTTACTACTAGGTTAAATTTTAATTTGAATTTTACTGTTACTTTAAATTACATCGCCACAAGTGGTGATTGATCTTGTCAAGCACGAGAAATGCGTTCTATATTCAAATTCTGGTTTAATAAAAAGGTTATTTTAATCTTCTCAAGTCTTTGTAGATAACATCAGACCACGCGATAATTCGCTCCAAGTTTGATAGGATTTGATTCTAGTTAAAGCTAAAGAAAGTCAAACTCCATAAATATCTTATTCATATTTACTGCAAAATAAATGAAGAAATAGAAAATTTTTAAATGCAGAAAGAGTTAAAAATAAAGGTAATCATCATATTTACTCTCTTGAATTATTTATAAAAATTAACCCACAGGAAATTAAAATTAAATTCCGCAGAAAAAAGCAATAATCTAAATGAAAACAATGGTATGCACAGTACCGTCAATCTATGTAACTGTAAATTGTGTAGATTAAAAGTTTAATAACTAACTATAACCCAAAAGAACTCATCAGAGGAAACTTTGGATTTCTAGAACAAGTATATCCTTTAGTCTTTTATACAGAACCAGAATAAAAAGCATCTTCTTTGAACCGCCTGATAGACTGCCATTTTGCTTTTCCAGAAGCCATAAGATCTTTCGTTTATCCTTGAATTTTTATTTTTTTATTATATCTTTATATCTATTATAACTTTATTTATTAGCGTAACAAAATATGCGAATTAAAAACAATGTATGTGCTCATCAATAGTTTATTTTTTTATTTTACTTTGAAAACAATATAACTGAATAATGTATAAGGTATTTCTCCCGCCTTCTTAGCATGCATTCGTGGTGTAATGGTCAGCACACTCGATGCGCATTCGAATCTCGGCGAGAGCAGTGCTCATTTTTCATCTCTCCTGCTTCGAAATAACCTAATGTTCTACAGTGGCGTCCGAACTAAAAAAAAAAAGGTGGTGGATGGTGATTCTCCACCACCAGGATTTGGCGATTGGGTCCCCTAATCCCCAGTCGCCCTTTAAAAGGGGGAGTATATAAGGCATATCTCCTGCCTTCTTAGCAAGCCTTCTTGGTGTAATGGCCAGCAGATTCGGCGCGTATTTGAGAGATCCAAGGTTCGATTCCTGGTGAGGGCATTGCTCATTTTTCATGTCTCCTGCTTCGAAATAACCTAATGCCTCTACAAATGACTTTTACAAACATTTGCATCATTAGGGTAAATATGAAAAAACATTTCTATCACATAATTTCGCAGATCGGTTACAAAAAAATGAGTTACTGGCCATCTAGTCACAAGTGATGTCTAGTAATAACATCAGCAATAAAACAAAACAGTTGCTATACTTTCGTTTTATTTTTGCTACGTTTATTTATAAAAGAAAATAATGAAAGGAATTTTTATATCATTTCATAGTAGATTGTTGTAAATTTCACAGTTCTCGATTTCGGATTTGTAAAAAAGAAATTACTTTACAAATTACAAAATTCCACTTTTTGTGGAGATGAAGCATTTAATTTGTTATTTCTTCTAAGAGCTGATTTAGTTTGGAAAATTATTTTCCTTAAAAAATATCAGAGCTCATTTTAGAGTCTTTTATGTGTAAATAACTTATTTTAAAAAAGTTAGTTTGGTAGTTGGAAAAAAGAACTATCTCTTAGCTTATGATCATAATTGGCATGCTTCTGAACTAAATAGTCAATCAAAATTTCTGCTTCTAATTAAGACAAGTTGAGAATTTTTTTAATCCAGTATTAAGGAATGAAATGAAATTAAAGAAATCCTCATGCATCATCTGGTGTAAAAGTCATTGTTAATTATTTTTTGGAATTTTTAATTTCCACGTGACTTTTAGTCTTTCGTGTTACTTTCAAATTGCCTAATTTTTAAATAAATAATTGCAATTATTATTGTAATTTCTCTTGAAAATTGTCGCCCAGACGAGAAAGTGGTCAGTAACTCTGGCTGCCGTACCAGAGAGCCCGTGTTCGAATCTCGGAGAAGGTGTGGATGTAAATTGTCTGTGCCTTCACAGGAGGCAACGGTGTCCCAACGCGTACAATGCTAGTGCCTGCCACTGGAAGGGGAGGGGAATCTCTTCAAAATTTATCTTGGACTGTAATGAAGGTATAACTTATGCCTAAGACTGTTAGGTTTATTTCTAGAACTTTGTGTCGCATATTTAGCCTATTACACTATATCTGAGTCTGACTAAACAGAACGTAGAAATTTACAGATTAATTATTAATTAAAATAATGATATAGAAAGCATTTTAAAAGAAATATTGAACTAATTGGAGATTATACTCATGCGCAATCGTAGGCAATGAAATAAAAGACCCGATAAACTTATATGTACCTTTAAAAAATAAGTAAATATTCATATTAATGTATAGCATTCTGAAGCGCATACCTCACCCCATAAAATATTAAGATTTGTATTAATTAATAAACTTACTACAAGTGGTTAAATTAAAAAGATCTTGAAATATTTTTGTTTTGCCCTTTTTAATTTTATTGCATCAAGTCCTTACACAAGTGCAATCGAAGGCCACTCATCAAGGTTAAACTGAGAAAACTTGATCCTCATACCACCCAAGTCAACTACCTGATAAATTAATATGCTTTGAAAAGACTTGCAAAAGTGTGGGAAGCTCAGATTTACTTACTACTACTAATAATTATTATTGCAAGCATTTAATGAGAAAATATCTCAGTAACTTTGTTGTGATAAGATGCACTGTAGTATTCTGCAAGTGCGTGAGTGTATGGGCGTACATGCATCACTCTGTACTTACCAAGGAAAAAAAACACGTGAAGGACTTCGTAGTTTTAAAACTTTCTTGTAATACAGATATAAAGTTTCTAGTCTTAGTTTCAGGTTTTATGACCTACATAACGCGAATAATATTAAAGAAAACATTTCTGAAAGTTGTTTTGGTATTATTAAGTTTAGCGTTACATACTGTTATCTACAGTATTATATATATATATATATATATATATTATATATATAGTTCCACTAATTTTTTGCGGTTATTCTTATGACATTATTTTTATGCAAATTAAACAGATCTTTTGTCCCTGATATAGATTACTGAGAGCATGTTCACATATGTATTTCACTTTTAATGTAAGCAAGGTTATCTTTATACCTGTATAAGTTCTTATAAAGAATCTGAAGCTTACTGAGCAATTTATAAGAAACACTTATCTGCTTTTAAAATTAGTTTCTTCATGGACGTCTTGTCAAATAACATCTTGAAATATGCAAATATTTACATTCAAAAAGTTTTTTCGGTGTTATTTTCGCTATTTTATTCTTAAAATACTAGTGTTCTACAAAATAAACACTTTAACAATAAGCTGAAAATGAAGTAATTTTAATATTCATTGCATTGTTTAAATATTTAAAATTTTCGCGAAAACTCTGAAGTGAAAAAAACTAGAGTGAAATATTAAAACAATAGAAACATACTGCTGTTAGTAATGTATTCTCTTTTTTATTTTCTAGTGGTGATCATCACCTCTTTATATAAACCATCCCTCGCACATGACAGGAATGAGCAGCAGTCTGCAACTCCAAGCCTGCCAACAGTTACCGTTCGTGGGTTTCTAAATTTCAAAACCACCGTAGATGGGACTGTTATTGTATTCACTCCAGCATCTGAAGCTGCACCACCCGCCACTGAACCAGAACCAATAAAATTATCGTCTGAAAAACCCAGTCCTTCAAGTTTATTAGAGGATGAACTATTCAGCTCTCAGAAAGCAATGCCCGATGATGTTCAAGATCTATCTTTTGCTTCACCACCACAAAATTCTTTAGGGCCAATTAAAACACAAGTTCCTGGTTTGAATCTGTTAGATAATAAAATGAGGGAGCCATTCCTTCAGCACATATCAGACAATGCTGTTTTACCTTCCACAGGACAAGTAAATAACGATCTTGACAAAATTAGAAAAATTCAGTCCTCACAAAACCAATACCCCACAGGGCTAGTTACAGTCCTTGGAGGCACATTTGTTGACGGGCCTTCAACAACTATTTATGAAACAAAAGTGATTGGTACTTACATTGATGGCAAATACGCACAAATACTTCAGAGTACTTCTCATATTGTTGCTCCTTCTCCATCTGTTCCTTCAAGTTACTCTTTTGGAATAAGTTCTGTTTCACGAGGCCAGAATAAGGAAACTCCGCAATTATCTATGGATACTTTTAAAATGTTTTCACCGTTTTCTTCTACGGCATCGATGGATTCACCAATTCCTCAAATAAAACTGTCTACCAGCTCCATTATTAAATCGATTGTTATAAGTCCTACACCAGTGATTTCTGCATCTGGAGTAAGTAAAACTGTAAATAATAATTACAGTAACAAAGTTTCTTCCCAAAGTGCGAATGTCCTTAACTCCCTCTCAATCATTGAAGAAAAAAAAATTTCAAGCCCGGCAACCCTTAAACCAAGTGAAGCTAAATCGTCTCAGAAACCACTGGAATCATCGTTTTCAAAAATGGAATCAACAGTTATACGTGATACTGAACTACCTACTGAATCCTTGGAGAATGTTAGGAAAAGCAGCGTTCTTTCCGATTCATCTCGTCTACCTATTATTTCTACAGTTATTCGCCTTCCAGATGAAGACAACACAGTTGTTGCTCAGCCCAAAAGTCACAGGAATAGTACTTCCAGAAACCGGTTTCTGTCTCCTCGCAGACCATCTCAATCGGTTAGTATATTTTTACTGAAAACTCTTTTGTGTATGACATATTTTCAAATTTATAAATAATGTTTACTGTGTGTATATATGCTGCTTCTAAAATTCACTTCGTAACAAGCCGTGTTGGACAACAAAATTTTTCTTTTTCAAATGGTCGGAATTCTTGTTCGTAAAGTAAGCAGTTGTAAATTAATTAATTCTCTTAAACTTTCCTTATTAAATTATTAGATCGTTTCAAATCATATTAACAAATTTAAATTACATAATTACAATGCCATAGCTACAACTATAAAATGATACATTTAATGTTGTACAAATTTTAATTACAAAATTGTTGACTTCAAAATATTCTACAAAAATGAGATTTTACGTACATTATTCGACATATTATAGACATCTTCTATATATATTGAACTATAAATAATGAGGTGAAACAAGTTAGGCCATATACTCATTTCTCAAACATATCTCTACAGGATACGAGGGTAGTAAGCTAAATAGTCTTGTAAAATTTTAAATAGCAGTTAAAAGCTAACTTAATACAAATAATTAGGTGTTTTTTTAAGTGATAGGCATAATTATATAACTTTCAACTTTTGTAGCTGTAAAGAAATTAACAAATTTGTGGAGTCATTAGGTATTTTTGAAGCAGAAGACGTGAAAAATGTGCATTGCCCTCGTTGGAACTCGAACCTGGACCTATCGAATACGCATCGAGTACGCTTCCAATTGCATCATTAAGGAATGCGGAAAGGTGAGAGAAAATACTTTATATACTTCCCTTTTAAAAGTGCGACTGAGGATTAGGGGACCCAGTCGCCAAATCCTGGTGATTTTGGCCACCAGGATTTTTCATCACCTTTTAGTTCGAGCGCCGTTTTTTTAAGCAGGATACGTGAAACTTGTGCATTGCCCTCGCTGGGACTCAAACCCCGGACCTCTCGAATACACGTCGAGTATGCTTCTAATTACACCACGAAGGCATGCGGAAAGGCGGGAGAAAATACCTTATAATACTTTGTCATCTATTATTTATATAATAATTAACTGCACATCCATTTGACTTACTAAATTAAAATTCACTTTTTATCATATCATTAATTAAGGTATGTTTTATTCCAGTAAGCATATACTGTTACTTTTAATTTCTTTGTACAGAAGAATGTTGTTTATTACTTCTATACGCGATATTTCCAAGTTACCCCCTAAAATTAAACGTTCTGAGCTTCTTAATAGCCGGTCCATGACATAATCTTTTTCTTTCAACCTATATTGTGTGGGGTCAGATGCGTGGCTGGTCAGATCATGATGAAAAATCCATCGTAGCTAACAACAGCCCAGGTAAAATTAAATGCACACTGCGGAAAAAAGGGGGGCAGTTCCATATCTCTCGTTATACTGAGCTGATTGACGAAATTCAATTTGCGTTTTTCATGTCTCGAAAACGCGACTTAGGATATGTATTAGATTTATATATAGTATTGTTCTAACATAGGAATTTTGACACAAAATCGGACGTTTTCTGAAATGGCATGCCATTTTTTTGCCATACTTCGATTTTACGACTCAAATTAGGCCAAACTACCAAGTTTTGTAAAAATCCCACAAGTAGTCTTTAAAAAATTAGCTTTCAAAATTTTAGCTCCTTAATGTTAATTGAATTTGATATATATTTATTAATATCTCTTTTTTTTTTATCAAAACTTATAAGATATTTCTCAAACCTTCTTAGCATGCCATCGTGGTGTAGTGGTCAGCACGCTCGACGCGAACTCGAGAGGTCCGAGGTTCGAGTCCCGGCGAGGGCAGTGCTTATTTTTCATCTCTACTGCTTCGAAATAACCTAATGTCTCTACAGTGGCGCCCGAACTAAAAATGGTGGCGGATGATGATTCTCTACCTCCATTGGGTTCCCTAATCCCCAGTTTCCATTTAAAAGGGGAAGTATATAAGGTATTTCTCTCACCTTCTTAGCATGCCTTCGTGGTGAAGTGTTCAGCACGCTCGCCGCGAATTTGAGAGGTCCGTGGTTCGAGTCTCGGCAAGGGCATTGTTTATTTTTAAAGTCTCCTGCTCAAAAAAAAAAAAAAAAAGTCTCTACAAACTTACTGCATTCCTTCTTCCAAAATTCGAAATTTAGGCTTAATAAAAATACAATTCGCGCAGTTTTTAGGATTTATTTTTAAAATTTGTATTTTTAAATATTTTTTATATATTTTTTCGAAAAACATTTTGTATTATAAACTATCAAATTTTTAGCATAATTTTAAAGTAGATGTCTTTCTAAGTACACATGTAAAAAGTTGTTATTCAAAATTTCCTAAGATATACTTGAATTTACACACTTCGAAATTTGGCATATTTGTTATAAGCGATAAGAACGACAAATGTGGTTTAGGCACTTTGTTAAAATTATTAAAATTATTATTAAGTATAAATGATGACCTTTTTTCCGCTCGTGTACAATGAATAAAAGGAAAGGAAAATAGGCTGCTATAAATTAAGAAGTTCATCAAGTAAATTATTCTTGGCGCAAACTGAAAAAAAAATGTACCAAGATAAATTTTTGAATTTCTAGTAAATTTTACACCAAATTTTACAAAATTTAATATTTAGGCATAAATTGAGTCGTAGAATAGAAATACGGAAAAAATTGACATGTCATTTGAAAAAAGTTCGATTTTGTGTCAAAATACCTGTATTAGAACAATTCTATGTATAAATGTAATATACATCCTAAGTCACGCTTTCGAGACATGAAAAACGCAATTTGAATTTCGTCAATCGACCCAGTAGAGAACGGAAAATCTAAACGTGTCCTTTTTTTTTTTTTTTTTTTTTTTTTTTTTTTTTTTTTTTCTCCGCAGTGTATAAGTCTACAGTAATAATTATATTAAACAGCACATCGGTTTGCTGTGATAATTTCAGATTTGCATGCTATCTTAAAGATCACACCATCTCCTTTCGCTTTTCTGATGAAAATTATTTTAGGTTTTTGACTCGAATTATACCATTAACATTTGATAATATCATAAACGACCAGACTGAACTTTCCCCTCTTCTGATAAAACAGTCGTTTTCTATTTATTTAACTTCGGCATTTCAGCTTTCATTTTAAGTTCATACTTTATAATAGTTTTGTTTAAACTATTAAACATTTCTATTTAGCCTTAGAATTTTTGTTTTTGATGCATAGGGCATTTTTAATAGACATGGAACAAGCAATTTGTCTCCTTGATACATCGTTTATTGTTTCCAAACAAACACTATTCTTATATTTTTATAAATTCATTTCCAGTTCTTTAATTTTTACAATAATCGTACTTTTAGTTTTGCTCTATTTTGCATAGTACCAACAACTCAGTTAATTAATCTAGGTATGTCCCTATTGCATTTGTTTCTACTAACTTGAAATAAGAAGTTTATTATTGCTCTCTGGTTAACTTCTTTTTCTAAGCTATTTTAATGTAATATACGTTTCAAAGGTAGACCTTCAAATGATTTGAACAGTTTGCTACGTCTGGGTGGTTATGATTAAGGCATCTAATTAAGGTCTTTTTGTGCCCTTTGCAGCACATTCTAACAAACATAAAATGCTGAAACTTGAATACAGGTAATTTAGATCATTAGAAAAGGAAATACCAAGAAATGTGAATCGTTCAAATTTTCACCACTAGGTGGCTCTTTTCAACAAGAATTTTATTCAAAACAGAAATATGCAAATTAGAAACTACTGGTCTGAATAAAGGATGGCCCATTATTACTAGGAAACTATTTTGTTTTGGCTAATATGGCTCTAGAGAAGAAATAATATGTTATACTCCTCATATTATTTTATGAAAACATCAGTAGTTAGTCAGCTGCATTGCGATAGCATCATAGTTCGAAAGGACTGCAAAAAGAGTCCATGACAAGACATAGCTTAACATAGATGATAAAGAAATCAAAAGAAAGTGAAGATTTGGGTTTGGTTCTTGGAGGGAGGATCCAGTCCAGAAGAAGTTGAAAAAGCAGTTGTTCTTGTGATTGAGACATAACGTTTATTCTCGATACTCAAACGCGTATGTTCAGTGGAAGTGAATTGTAAATTCCCTTAGTCTACTGTTCCAAAGATTTTATGCACCTTTTTCAGTGTAATATGTAAATACCCTATGGTGCAAAAGTCCAAGCTGCAAGATTCGCAAAGATTTTGTTTACTGACTTCTTATGAGAATATTTGTTGATGAAATTATCCCTGGGACATTCTATGGGCAGACTAGGCACATTTTACGATAGAAAGAACAGAAAATGTTCAGAACTCCCATATGGTGTATCTTAGTCTAGAAGCTGTGCATTAAATTCGTTGCATTCTGTATTGTGTGACCGCGTGGTGCATATTTATCCCAGATTTTATTATTTATTTTATTTAGTATTTCGTTGTGCGGCTTGTAGGGTTTCATTCGTGTGAAAGTTTAAATCATTATCCTTCAGATCCAACTAGCCGAATTATCACTCCGTCTGAATTAATATGGAAAAGTCCTGATAAGTTTAAAATAACTTTTTTTTTATTAAAGCTTTAAATTAAACAGAAGGCAACACTTGTGCATACAAATTACTTTCGTCAAAATCAAGTATTTAAAAGAACATAAGTTGAAGTTCAAATTCCAGGCAACTTAGTCAGAGACTACAGAAAATGGTCTAGTTAAGCTGGCTCAAATATTTAATCTGGCATTTTAACATCGGTTAACGATGCCAAAAGTAATTTGCTTTAACCATTATTAATTGGCAGAGCTGGACGATTGCAAGCCATACTGCTAAAAGCTGTAACTGCCAAACATTCACCTATTTTGCATTCCGGTAAGAGCTTTGGAGAGAATAAATTATAGCAAAGCTTTTAAATCATAGTAGTTGATTAATTTATAAGCTATTTCTCTCGCCTTCTTGGACATGCCTTCGTGGTGGGGTGGTCTGCACGCTGGGCGTATATTCCAGAAGTCCTCGGTTAGATTCCCGGCGAAGGCGTTGCTAAT